GTGTAATTTATCGATAAACTCTAGGGATTTAGTATCGATGAAATTATTGTTGGTTATAATGGTGTAAACATTAAAAATATGTCTTTTTTGTAATTCGAGATGCCGAAGGCGTGATTGCTATAGAAGTTCGATGTTGGATGTTAAAAATATTACCTATTACCATTTTGGGGTATTAAATTTAATACTTTTTTAAAACATCATGGAATTCACAAAGTAACTGGTACAAGATATGATGTTTATCCTAATCTCTAAAAAAATGGATAAATATTTTTTTAAGTGACAATTGACTTCTCTTGCCTTTGGAACACACTCACCAAGAGGGATTGTCAGACTCTTACTGACTGAAAACCACGGTGTTCCTTCTCCTGCTAAAAGCACGGTGAAAAAAGAAATTAGTATGTAACTAAAATTATCGGAAATAATAGATTAATATTACCTATTGGCATTAACTGTCCATCTTTAGGTGGTCATAGAAGGACCTATCAAAAAAATAATTGTACCAAAAATTAAGATCTACCTACATACTTATAAAGTAACAATTGGAATAAATAACGATCGAGATCGTTCAAACATATTGATAAACCGATGCATTTAATAAATATTTTAACGAAAACCAACAGAAAGACAGTCATAAATAATTCATTGCGACGAGCCGCTTGATTCCAGTTCAATCCAGATTTTTTAATTTTTATATTCAAATTTTCGTGGCACGAATTTTAACGAAGTCTTTTTTTTTGTTACCATTTTTTTTCTTTTTCTCGCACCTAATTGTCTTGAAGTTTTTTCTAAACTCAACCCTATCGAAGGGTTGCAGGGTAAGCGCAATGAGGCACCGCGACCCCGGCCCAGAGCAGGAGAAGGAACAGGGGGGTTTTTAGTCAGTAAGAGTCTGACACTCCCTCCCGCCCGGCCCTGGGCGGGAGAAGTCATTTGATGATTTTCCCCTCACAAAAAAAACCCTATCGTAGATAGAGTAATAAGATTTTTTTTAGTAACGTAGTGTTTTCATTTTATTTATAAACTAGTGTTGGATTGAGAAAAATTACACCTGGATTCTGTTCATTAATTACCAGTATAAAATGGGTGTTAGATTTATTTTTTGTTAGTTTCAAATGACTTGCTTTTTTGATTAAAGGTTATAGAACAATAGTTAAATTGAAAAAAGGTTTCTTCAATTTTTTGATTGGGGAATGTTTGGAACTATGTTATTACTAAGAAGTAAATGATATTCTATTCTATTATCCAAACTAATATTATAAATGCGAAAGTAACTCTGTCTGTCTGTCTGTGTTTTCTTCACGCTTAAACTACTGAACCGATTTCTGTGAAATTTGGTACAGACATAGTTTGGAACTCAAAAAAAGACATATGATAGTTTTATACCAAAAATATTCAAAGTCACTATTCCACGCGAACGGAGTCGCGGTCAAAAGCTAGTGTTCAATAAAGTTTGATTCCCAAAGTTGTCCTTGTAATGCAAATAGGTTTTAATAAGAGCTAATTGTTACTGTAAATGATTGCAATTGTGTCAACCTAATTTCATACCAATTACGGATACTAATATCGTTTAAATTCGTTTGTCGTTATCTTCCACCTAGACCGATGGATCTTACATACAATGCATTTCTAATAACAGAATAACTTGTTCAATAAAATGATTAACAAAATCAAGCTTCTCCAATAAAAAAATAACTTTATTAATTCTGAATAAAGTTTTAAATCTATTAAAGATTTTCTTGTCATTTCAGACTCATTAGTTTACCATGAAAATCTTTAAGAAAAACAAAAAAAAAATTATAACAACCGCGTTAATTCTCAACAAAGATTTCGATCACGAATGAAAGATACGAAACGCAATGTAACAAAAAAAAAAAAACAAAAATAACAAACTTGAGTAATTAAACATCGGAGAGACATCCCGTGAGTTGCTCTAATGAGGTACAAACTTCTTTTGTCTCTGAAAAAGAAAGAAATAACATAATACTCAGTACAGTTCTGTTCTTTGGGATTTATTTTGCGTTTTTCATGCAATGTATTTTTCTTTAAACAAGTTTCAAGTCTAAGTATGGACTTGACCTGTAGGTTGACGTTTTGTCGAACCTTTCTTGGTCATTCTGTTTTGTGTATTACTTATGTTTAAATAAGATTTTTTTTTATTATTTTAATTTTTTTTTTTGTGTTCATGATTGTGTGATAGGCGTTACGTCTCCGGTTGTGTCGAAGCATACGTTTGCCACAGTTTAAGATATTCCTGCATGTATATATAATATTACAACACTTAAAAGTGAATACATTCCTTAAATTTTAACGAAGACAACTTCATAATACAGGTTTATTATGAAACCAAAAATTAAAAAGCATAAGCCTAATCATACCTCATACACTACAACTGCAAACTAACATCAATCTCTCAAACTAACTAAATATTAATACTAAACAAAACTGAAATAAAACAATATTTCAACAAACAAAAACAAATTAAAACAATAAAAACACTTTGCTTGTAGGTTTATCGCTTGAATAGAGTTTGACCATCAATCAATTAAAAGAAATAAAAGTTAAACTTTGTTTTATTAATTATTTCATTAATATTTGTAAAGGTTACTCAATTTTTTGTCTAAGAGGCTTGAGAAAACATTATGGTGGCCCAGTGGCGTCGGCTTCTCATGTACTAGCTTCTCTCGCTGCTCGGCTCCATTTAATCCTAGCGTGATGTTTTATAGCCTATAGCGCTCAGAAACATTGTAGCTATCTATCAGTGAAAGAATTTTGGCAACCCGACCAGCAGTTCCAAAGATTACCCCCTACATACAAACTTACAAACATACAAACTTTTAAATTTTACCTCTTTATAATATTAGTATAGATAAGGTTTATAAGTTGATAAGTAATATGACAATTTCCGAGTACCTATATGTGCCTTCTAAGATTATTTAGATCATCGAACTTATTTTGCAGACCAATGCGGTATGAGGTTAGACTATGTTAGAACTGTGACCCACATAAATACAGTTTAGGCTATTGAATAGGTCTCGGTCGGCGAGCTACCCTTGCTCGCCATCCGCAGTCGCCGCGCGCCTTCAAGAGCTAATAGACCACAACAGATGGAGCCCAATAGAGCTGATGTTCAGCAAGCTCAATAAGGTATAGCATCCTCGTCATGGAATGAGGGGGATTTTTCTATACAAATATTATAAAGAGGTAAAATTTATGAGTTTGTATGTAGGCGGTAATCTTTGGAACCGCTGGTCGGATTGTCAAAATTCTTTCACTGATAGATAACTACAATGTTCCAGGGTGCTATAGGCTCTGGAACACTACGATCAAATGGAGCCGAGCAGCAGGTGAAACCGCGCGAGAGTTAGTAATCAATAAACGGCTGACATTGCTTCTCGCCTTACCTTACGCTGGGCGAGACAAGTCATTTGATGATTTTCCCCTCACAAAAAAAAGACTAGACTACCTATAGCATTGAATGGTCTACCAAGGTAGTTGGCTTCAGCATGCGTATAAATGAGATAAATGCAACAATAAGATTTCAAAATATGTACCTATTTTTTTTTTTTTTTATTTAAACTTCAAAGGCGAACTTAATGCCATAGGTATTCTTACCAGTCAACCTTAGGGTGATGCAGAGAGAGCATGGTAGGTGCAAAAAGAAGAAAACTTCAAGTCGATAGAGTAAAAAATACAATATTATTATAAAATAATTGAAAATTAATTAAGAATAATTTTAATTTATAAAGAAAATCTTATTTACGAATAATATGGGAAATTAATAAGTGTGATAATCTAGTTCACAGATCAAAGAATCTACAAAAAATACGTGTTTTTATAGCGTTTAATTTCACCTGTTTATTTCTATGCCTCAAGCTTATTGCGTTGTCAAACGCAAAGAATTACAATAAAAATTAACAAACATCACGTTGTTTAGGTAAAATTATTAAGGCAATATATTTTATACAAATTATTAGGTACTTTTTATTGTTTTCCTGTTACGTTACTAAACACTTCATTCTAGATTTTAATTAAATAATGTAATAATATCTTGCCTCCCTAAATCATAGTTTTCGTCCGCTTTTTCTGTAAATAAAATGGTTGAACCTTTTCGCTTATTAACTTAAATGATTCAGTTTTCGAGGTCAATTTTAGAGACAAGCAAAGCAAAGCCTATTTAGGTTATCGGGTATTTTAATTTCAAAATACTTATCAAGGGAATTTCAATCCCATTATGTGGGTCTAGGTAGTGGGTGCTGTGTATTGTGTGTACTATAGAATTCTGCCTACGCCCTCAGTATTATATGATTACAGTATCACGTAACGCTGACGTCACACACAAGGCCGTTTCACACAAGTCATCAATAATATTATCATTGTTGCAGGCAGGAGACGCCGTCACTCGTAATCAAGATAATCATCAGGCGACATTAGATTACAATGCACCAACGCTAATGACTGACCATTACACAGTCACGCGACAACTCCAGCCATGAACACCATGTAATCATTGCGCCATGGACCACAACACCAAGAAAATGTTGACGAAAACACATCGGTTATGGGACAGGAGGAGGCACAAGGTCGGACGATGACACCGACGGCCACAACAATAAAATAAAACAACATTTTTCGTTAACAACAAGCTTTTAGTGTAAAATCGCTTTTTTGTGTGTTCGCGACTTGCCGTAATCTTCATTTGCTAGTTCTTTTCGTTTCTCGATCAGTGTTCTCTCAATAGTTGCAAGCAATACTAGGTAAGGCCTTCGAGTTAGTGTAAATATTGTGTTCGTGATCGCTTCTACTCTCAGCGTTCGGGTAAAACGGGTATTTAGTAATTGTATAAAGAGAAAATAATAGTCAAACACTTCCGTTCCTATAGGCAATACGTTTTTTTAAAAGTAAATCAATTATACAGTTGTTTCAACGGGGCCAAACTTTCAATCTGTCTTAACAATAATATTAGTTAGATGAATTTTACAAATCCGGAGTCGAGAGCCACAATGGTGCCGAATACGACCTTGTTGGCGAGAACTACAATGCCGAGTGGTTACAATGGGACATTCGGTCCGAATTCTACATACTTGGTTCCGACGTACATGAGCCAAGAGGAGTTCTTCGCGTTGCAAATGACCAATGGGTCTGACGCGAACACGACGCTGTCGAATGACACTACAGTAAACTTAGTTCTAAAGACGTGGTATCCAAGTGGGTACTCGCCGGCGCATATAATAATAGCTTCAGTGGTTGTGACGGTGTTGATGATAATGGTGGTAGTGGGGAATATGTTGGTGATCATTGCCATAGTGACGGAGAAAGCGTTGAAGAACATTCAGAACTGGTTCATAGCGTCACTGGCCGTGTCGGACTTCTTCCTCGGCTTGGTGATAATGCCGTTCTCATTGGCAAATGAGCTGATGGGCTACTGGATTTTTGGGTTCTGGTGGTGTGAGATACATTCGGCGATGGATGTGTTGCTGTGCACGGCGTCCATCATGAACCTGTGCCTGATCTCACTCGACCGGTACTGGAGTATAACTCAGGTGAGTCCTTGTATTTTATATTTTATTTTAGATTTTTTATAATGACTCCAACAAAGTGAATTTAAAGTCAATCTCGACATATTTATTGTCTTTGTTAAAACAACAATTCGCTTCAAACGCTGGTTTTAAAATGTTCAAAGAAAGCAATAACGTAGAAGGACTTCACTACAAAAATAGGGTTCTTCCATTACTCCAGGTCTTCTCAATTCGTCTCGCAAATACACTGTCAAACTGTTATAAACAGTATTGACATATATAGTGGAAAATTATCTTGGAAACTTGAACGCCCAAATTTAGATGCAAAAAATTAAATATTAGTTTTCCCTTTTCCCCTTCATGCATGTTAATGTGGGTACAAGGAGCTTAAATTAAAATGACAGGCACAGCTTAACCGCCTTTTTCAGGCATTGCAAAGAGGGCTTTTACTAGCTTATAAAATAATATTAAATTACTTAATTTACACCACAAAAAAAAGTTAGGAATTAGATAAAGTAAAAAAAAGTGAACTGTGCAGTTAGTAGGTAGGTGTTTGTGTGTGTGAGGGGTTATATATGAGGTGGGGTGAGGTGTTCCTTCTAAGAATTCTTTGGTTGAGTAGAAACATTTTTGTATTAACAACTTTCGCACTAATGTGGCATTAGGACTTTTAAAAAAAAAGCTAGGCGCCTCTTGAAGGTTTCCCCCCGTCACCAATTTTAGTATCAACATACATACATCGGTATAAATATATATACATATATAGCATATACCACCGAAATATTTCAAATCAAAATCCAATCCCAACGAAAAAACTCTCAAATCAAAAATCTTTTACACAGATTGTTTACAAAAACAGCGAGTTGGGAACTGTTGGCAATATTTAGTACGGCAACTGGCACTGGCAATTTTCAGGAGCAATGTTTTTGACTTTCAACCAAGCAATGACCTCGATTGACCTGTGGACGAAGCGAAGACTGCCAATATGGAAACGGTATCGACGACCCCTACTGAATTATTTTGAGCTCAGCCAAACATTGTGAAGGTTGTATGTCGAGTGGGTAGTGCATTTACAACACACGTTTTGAACGTAACGGTTTTCGGTAATCAAATTTTTAAGTGGACTAGTTCGCTTATTGTAAGATATACCGAGTTACGTTGAGGAAATTTTATAGTATTGGATATTACAGTGCATTTTCTGCATCACACAAATAACGATACCTAGCACACAAATCAAACAAATAACGATATCTAGCACAGTAGCCAGTTGCCCAGTCACTACGCCAAACGTGCAATCAGTCATAATTATTAAAAAAATTAATGTACTATATGTGTCTACACTACAATTACTAAACCATCGCTGTTTACAAATGAGAAAATCTTCAGAATGAAACATACATGCGTACATACAACAAGGAACGAGCAAAACAATACAACTTGCCATTTTAACCTTTCGAATTCCCCACACATCATCAAATTTCCATACACCAGAAAATCTGTTAGCAAAATCGTAAATTCAGAGTACATTTGCAAACCAACACGGCGTTGCTTGCCGTTTGCATCTTGTTTAATAATGAATATTTCAAACAACTTGCCCATAGGCGAATTTCAATAGTGACAAACCGACCAACCGGTTTGCACTGGTTCGTACCGGCTTGTACTGGTTACCGGCGGTTCGCACCGGTTCTAACCGGCTCAAACTAACTCACAGTGGGAGAACATGGGATTATATTTCAAAGGCGATAGTTAGTGCTCATTTGTGCGTGAATTCTATTCTCAGTTAAGATTTGTCGTTTAGCTTAGTTAGTGTAACAATTGTTAGTTAAGTGGTAAAGTTAGTTCAAGATGATTAAGTGGGATGGTGTCAGTTTTAGTTTTATTGTTTTGAGATGGTTTAACTTTGTTTTAATTTTGGCTAGGTAGTTTTCTTTGACTTAATAATGTAAAATAGGATTATATTTTCTTGGTTCGTTTTTTGGACTGCCTCAATTTTTCTTTTATCTAATAGGCCGGCAAACGAGCAGGCGGATTACCTGATGGTAAGCAATCATCGTCATCCATGGCCACCCACAACAGAGGAGTTACGAGTGTGTGACCGACCTTTTGGGGATTCGGAATTTGGAGATTTAGAGATTGGGGGAGGAAAAGGATTGCACCTCAATGTGGAAAGCAACGTTTCTGACCCAAGAATTAAACCCAAGATCTCTAGTTTAGCAAAGACATTTGGATCACCCAGCGAACGAGGTATTCGACCTTTTCATGTTTACATTAAAATCAAAAATAGAACATTCTGAAAAAAACAATACATTGACCTTAGAAATGAGATTCCGATAAACAAATTCATTCATAAAAATTATATTTTTAAAGAAAACAAAAGAATGATTAACAATGGCGGTGTAAAACAAAATAAATTGAAGTCCATTGATGAGTATAACAATGAAGTGCCGCACCCCTCTCGGGTGAATGAGGCAATGGTCATTGAACATGCATCCACGTGCACAATAGCTAAGAGGATGTTGTGTGTATATTAAGAGAGTATACAACGCACGGTTTTCCGTACAAACTTTAAGGTTTAAAATCATGGAAACTACTAAACCGATTTTAATGAAACTTTGTGTCCATACGTCATAAATATTTATTGAAAATAACGATATACTCGCATACATGAATTCAGAGAAGCTCTACTAGTTTCAAGTCACCAACGGGGCTCTAATTCGTGAGCAGCGTGCGCGTCACGTTGACATCACGCAGCCGACAAAAATGGGCTGTGACTTCATTCATTTGAGTAAGTAGTTAATATCAATTAATTTTGTATATCTCAGGAAGTTCTAGTTATTATTCAAAACATGGTAATCATGGTATAAGATCTTTATAAATAACATTTTCGAAAAGGTCTTTATAGATTTTTGTTTTCGTGAATAACTGTTTAACTAAAGAATATTTATTGAATTTGTTTTTTATTGTGATCGTAAATTCAGCAAAATACTTATGCCTTACTGGGTGGGGTGAAAAAGAGAGTTTGACTTTAACTGACTAAAAACCAGTCAAGTTGCAGCAACCAGTCAAATAACTTTATAAAAAGTAGCCAATCATGAATACCAAGAGTCATTAATATTAATGGGTTTTAATGACAGCTAATACATAACTTTGCACTTGCTGATTTGTATGGTAACTTCTAAAATCAGATTCGTGATGTTACTCTTTATCTGGTCTAATTAAATCCTGATATTTAAGTAGCATGGATTCAGGATTTTTTGTTATGTGACATTTACAAAAGGCTAGAGGAGATGCAAGTGTATTGCCAACTTTACTTTAATTTCAAGTCTACACAGCACAGGATTCAGTGCAAGCAACAGGTTTACCGCATTCCGTAACAAATAAATTTGATAGTATCTTAATAAGTTATTAAGAACTTTTTTTGTAGAAAACACTACTTAACTACATAATAATAGTGTGAAAGATAATAGCATTCTTAAAAAGCAAACTATATATGCTTATTTTAAGTGTGGGAGAGCCATGCTTCGGCACGAATGGCTCGGCTCGACCGGAGTTATACCACAGCCTCACAGAAAACCGGCGTGAAACAACCACAACGTTGTGTTTCGCCGTGTGAGTGAGGTTACCGGAGGCCCAATCCCTTCCCAATCCCTAAATCCCCAAAATCCCAATCCCTAAAAGGTCGGCAATGCACTCCTTCTTTGTTGTGGGTGTCTATGGGCGACGCTGATTGCTTACCATCAGATAATCCGTCTGCTCGTTTGCCGTCCTACCACATAAAAAAAAACGATCTAGTTTGACAACAACGATTGATTCTGTACTAAACCAATCTATATTTTTGTTGCTTTTTTTGGAAGTGTTACGAAAACCTTTATTCGGTCTGGGTATAGAATTCAAATGCCTCCCGCTAGGTGACATCGTCAGAGTCGCGGAAAGCCACTTGTTGTTCGATGTGGATGACTAAGGGGAGGCCTTTGTTCAACAGTGGACATCTTTCGGCTGATGATGATGATGATGATAGAATTCAAAAGTCAAATAACCTGAACGGAACCTTGTACCTTAATACTCCCTAAACAAGTAAAACCGTGGTTATCATCAACTTTGAAAATAAATAAAATAAACCAAATAATAAAAATATAATATTTCAATCTGCAATGAAATTCATTTTATCGATACAAACACTTTTCCCCTTTCGAATGGCGAACGAATGAAAAAACAAGTGAAAAAAAAAAACATCGCGCATCCATATTTGATTTGAATGAATTTAAAAAGTAGTATTTTGTTTCTCTATTTATTCCGTTTGTAGAGTTTTATATTTCAAATACCTAACTTGGATATACCTACAGGTGTTTGAGAGATGGAAACATATATGAGGACAGTCGTGGTGGCCCGGAGGTTAAGGCGCCCGCTTCTCATGAATGCGGTCTTGCAAGTACCGAAGTCACTTATTCCGAGGTATATCTACTTTCTAGGATTATTTAGACACCACTGACATACGGTGAAGGAAAACATCGGAGGAAACCTGGACTTATAATTTCTAATTATAAGTTTGAAATCGCCAATCCACCTTGGGCAAGCGTGGTGATTAATGCTCAAACCTTCTCCGTGTGAGGAGAGGGCTTTTGCTCAGCAGTGGGCACTTATGGGTTGATGATGATGATGTTTATGAAGCTTCTTAGCCAACTGACACCATCGAATATCCAAATCCGAATATCTATTTTAAAAAACGAATATAGAATGCAATTTCTAAACGATACTACTAATAAATGATTACCATTATGATACAACCAATAAGAAATTCTAAAACAAAGTAATAAGGTACGTTTTCACAAAACCAAACAGTTTAAAACAGATTATTATGAAAATATAACCAGATTGTTACTAAGCCGGCGATCTTTTTCGCTAATTATTTTTAATTTAAAATAGCATTATCAATCCCCATCGTTGCGGTAGAAAACCGGGTAAAATATTACATACCCGGGTCTTAACCGGGATTAACGTGAATACGGTTTCAACCGGGCCGTAAATAATTAATGTAGAGACGTCCTATTTTATTAATTATTAATTTTGTTGATGTATTATTTAGTGAATGTGGTTAAAGGCAATTAAATATTACAATTGTATATACACACGTCTTAGTAATATTGTATATTCATCTTTATTTGTAAGAAAATGTTAATTTGGATCTGGGTATCACACAAATACAGATTCTGGGTCGTCACGGATAGTCAGATGAAGGCATAATCTAAATACTAGTCTAGTACTTAAAGATTTAAGTGTGGGAGAGCCATGCTTGGGAATGAATAGGTCGCCTCGATCGAAGTGGTATCACGGGCTCACAGAAAACCTGCGTGAAACAACCACAATGTTCTGTTTCGCTGTGTGTGTGTGAAGTTACCGGAGGCCCAATCCTTCCCCAATCTTTAAAACCCCAAAACCTAGTAAAAAGGCCGGCCATGCCGTTGCAACTTCTGTGGTATTACGGGTATCCATGGGCGGCGCTGATCGCTTACCATCAGGTTATCCGCCTGCTTGTTTTTCGTTATATCATGTAAAAAAATATAATTCATCAATACTGGGCTTGTTTACGATTCTGATATCTGGATTTCGCACACACATCTCACATGTGTGTGCGAAATTGTATGTTTACAAACGCTAACACGACATCCTACAAAATCTTAGTGTCGAAAAAAGTTTTATACTATAATGTTATTAAAAACTAGCTACTACCGCATGATTTCACACGTTGCTCCGCTCCTGTAGATCTTAGGGTGACGTTTTATAGCCTATAGCACTCAGGAACATTGTTGCTATCTATCAGAGAAAGAATTGTAGAAATCCGACTAGCGGTTCCAAATAATATCCCCTACATACAATCTCTCCCTACTCACAAATTTTACCTCTTTATACTATTAGTATAGAAAATATAAAATAATTGTTATTACGAATGATTAAAACATCAGACAATAAAAAAATGACAACAAAAATAATGTAACATAACCTATTGTAATTTGGAGAACTACATGCCATAAATCTCTTCAAATTATAATTGCTTCAACATAGAGTTCAAAGTTCACTGAATAAATTTACAACTTTTTCAAAATTTGAGTTTCTAGCATCTATCTATCCTTAGAACTCACACCCTTTGCTTCCTACGCAGTAACTAGAGCAATCATATCACCAGAAACCACCCATCATCAAACCCAAACACTCCAACCGAAAAACTGTTTATCTAACCCGGATAAAAAACCACGAAAAACCGTCTCAAACCGTCTCACGCTAAGTAAAAAACCGGATAATCCTTAAAAATATTCAACAGAGTGAATGCATGTAGCCACTAGTGGCATAGTGAACGCGTATAGTGTAAACTCAATGTTTAATTCAACAGTATACTAAGTCATTGTACGAAAAGTCATGAAAGTCCCTTGGGGACCGAAAAAATGAAAATACAGAAAATGAACGCCTTTGTGACTCCTAGAGGGTAGCCCGATATTTTGTCATGTTGGGTACCGCCGATATTTTTTCTTAATGTTAGAATTTTTCGGTTTTTGTCGCGAATCGGTGAAGTAAGGGCTGTGTATTGGATCCCCGAAATATATACATATGTATATTATTGCAAGCACACCCATTTAGCCATATTTCGCCTTATTTATTTATTTATTTAAAAATAAGCACACCAACAATACAATCACCCAATGTTATACAAAAAACACAATAATCAAATAATTGGATGCACAAGCAATTGTACAAATTACAGGTGTGCATGACATTGAAAATGAAAGGTTTTTGAGACTTATATAACTAAGCTAATAATTAAACAAAAAAAAACAAAAAACGTGTTAAAGCAATAACGATGGGCACTGTTCACATAGTTTAAGTAGGGAGCGTCTGTATGATGCGAAGTTATGAGTGGGGTTATCGCATATTTGTTTTTTTACCACTGAACCCTAAGTTTGCCCAGTTGGCGTGGTGGCTGGGCAACTGGTAGTCGCGCAACGGGTCGCGGTTTCGATTCACAGAGCAACTCTTTGTAAGAACCACAAATTGATGTGATAGGGTGATGTGCATGTGAAATTGTATGTTTGTATGTAAAGTCACCCACGACACTTCGTTCTTTGAATTAAAAATAGAGAGTAACCTGCACTCAGAACGGATACACTGTCCTCTAAAAAAGGCCAGGCTAAAGGCCACTTCAGGGTAAACTTGTAAGGTTCTTAGATATGATTTTATATTTATTTGGTATTCGAAAGAGACTAAAGTTCGAGTTAGTTTTGGCCTTTCTTCTCAGAGTAGTTAGATTGCAAAATTAAATGCCAACCATCATCATTTAGAAATATTATTTTGAAGCATAAAAAGTACTGTATTCTGTCTTTTTAATAAAAAAATAACTGTATCATTATTTTCCTTTTATATTATTCAAATAGGTTTACATATTTTGTAGTCTTTAACAACAAAAGGTCGGTATCGATTTATTCCAAAAAAAAGATCTATTCCCGATTCATCCGGATAAATTTGATTAAATATTGAAATACCTATGATATTTTCCCCATTCATCCGAAGAGTAAATGGTATGTCCGATTCATCCGAGAGTTTTAAAGATAGTTATTAATAAAAAAAGTGATGGAGGGTTGACAAATAAAACAAATATTTTAATTATGTAAATATATATTATTTCTTTGTAAAACTTTAAATAGTAAGATGTAACATATAATATAACACCAGTAATACAGTACCATAAAAATCAACTTTAGGACTTATCTATTATTCTTCCTGTATAGGTTTGATACATATAAATCTGGATATACAACTATTTGTTAATTCTTTTTTAAGCTGTAAACAGTAACAAATACAATATTTAAATTACTACATTAGTAATAAAGTGTTACAAAATCAACTTTAATGCCTATTGCCCTTTTTGTAAGTATAGGTTTGATACATACAGATTTGGATAATAATATTTTTTAACTAATACACTCAAAAATCAACTTTAGGACTTATCTATTATTCTTCCTGCATAGGTTTGATACATATAAATCTGGATATACAACTATTTGTTAATTCTTTTTTAAGCTGTAAACAGTAACAAATACAATATTTAAATTACTACATTAGTAATAAAGTGTTACAAAATCAACTTTAATGCCTATTACCCTTTTTGTATAGGTTTGATACATACAGATTTGGATAATAATATTTTTTAAGTAATACACACAAAAATCAACTTTAGGACTTATCTATTATTCTTCCTGTATAGGTTTGATACATATAAATCGAAAGCCTATGATGTATAAATTTCAGACTTTAATATTAATAACTACGTTAAGTTGCAAATTTTTTCTAAGCAATGACCCAAGGTAATTTCACAGTTTTGATGCTGCGTAATTATATGAGCGAGACGTTTATCAAAATCTATGACATTTTTGTTTCTATATGAAATTGGAATACCCTGTTCAAATTGTTTTATTTTGAGATCAAATTCTTTTATATTTTTCAATAGGAGATCTAAAAATTTAATAAATGACGGTTTTGCATTCGATATTCCTTTATTTAACTTTGAATGCCACCCTTCTAAATGATTTGTGGTCCTGAATCTTTCACCGTAGAATGACCATTTTCCGAAAAAACTAGATTCAATCCAGGCGTTCACAAAGTAGTCATTAAAAGCTAATATTTGCCCGTTATTGGAACAATCTTCCATTATATATAAATAACCATCACTGATTAAGTGTTGTGGCAGAAGTGATAAAGCGCCACAGATTGCAACGTGAGCTTTATGTACGGGATTTTTATTTAATTTTAATTCTTTTGCTTTTTTTCTTAGAGCACTTTTAAAATGAAAATAACAACCTACAATTTTACAATTAGGCATTATTTTTTGCATTGCGTTCATAGCTGCTGCCTCGTAATCAGATTGAAATTTTTTTGGATTCCAATCCGGCACTTGCGACTTTATTATTTGAAAAAGGATTTCATAAGTAGCCTGTTTCTTATTTAATAATAACGCGTATACCAGCGGGACAACGTTAGATGTTTCTTCGGAACTACCCAAATCTCCATGGATTGTGTAAAGTTGGTAGAAGGGCTTAGGACATATTTTAAACGTACCATCTGCAAAAATATGTTCAACTGTTGCTAGTAAGTGCTTCGCATTATGTGTTCCAAATACTATGATTCTGTTCCTTTGGTCTGTATAGTCAGCCAGCAATATTTTGTCTTTATATGCATCTGGGATTTCAACGGCAGAAGCAGTTTGAAATGTGGTTCTTTTCACTCCCAGTGCTTTATTTCTGGAATGGTATAAACTGTTCTTTATTGATGTAAACTTCGGTATTGTTGCTACTAGGTCGAGGCCAAAATCAGCGAGCGAAGACATCTCATTGTTGAATAACGTTGGTATTGGGTCTGATTTCGTTGCAGCTAATTTTCGGCATTGGTTCAGTTGTTTCTTTATTATGTTGGCAGCAAAATTTGGTTGGCATGTATGAGGATCATCACTCACAACTAGATTGTTTTTTGTGACTACACGTCCACGACATTTCCGAGTTTGCCACTTCACACAACACCAAACAGTTGTACCGTTTTTGTTTTCGCGTTTTTTGTTATGCTGATAGCCACCACGCAATAAAAGAAGTCCTCCTCGTTCTGATTGCTCAAAAACTAATTGAGTCTGACTGGAACTACTAGGTTCACAAGTAGAATCCATGATAAACTAATCCAAATCGTAGGCAAAACAACAAATCCGATCACGAGCAAGGGTCAAATGTTCAGAAAGTGATTACAGTAAGTGATAGTAGAGATGTTTCCTGATCGCGAGCGAAAAGTCAACTAAATTTTCATTTATGCAAAATATGTGACATAATTTTTAAAAAGAAGGGTGGTTTTGCGTTATGATGCCGACAAAAGCAAAGTTAAAAACTTTTTACATTGTCTTTTTAAAATTAACAATTACATTTAAATAACAATATTTTAACAAATACTAATCCATTCCGAAAACTCTCACCAGTGTTATCTATCCCATCATAAAACCCCTTTTATGCAATATAGAGCTCGTATTTTTAAATACCTACCTGACGCTCTGTAGCCCTTTTGTTCGGTTGCCGACTGCAAAATTCTCGTAATAAGAACAATTGGTTAGGCACACTTATTAACATTTTTTTGTTAATATATAATGGAAGAAGGGAAAAGGTATTATAAAAATATGGTATCTACCTATATATATATATATATATATATTTTTTTTTACAGGTTGGTCGTGTCACCTGACCGACGACAAATAAAAGATTTTGAATATTAGAAGATATTATTTTTGTAGTAAGTAGGTAATGTTTTTCTTTTTAGTTTTTTTTTGGGCATTTTAGATAATGTAGGAATAGATTCGTACAGTTTATCTTATAAAAATAAATTTAAAAAAAACCGACTTCCAAAAGGTAAAAATAATAAACCTTCCCGACTTCTAACACGTACTTAGAAGTCGGACAGGTATATTCAATTCACTTTTTAGTGTTGTAAGAAGGGTACAACACGAAATTTCAAGCGAGAATTCGTTACGTATGTAGGTACTTCTTCTTCTTTTAAAAGTCGGTTAGTCTCTATCTACATTCGTATGCAAAGTTACAACACGATACGTGCAGTAGAAGTTAGTGTACATCGTCTCGCAAGTTCGAGAAATCGACCGATTGTCTCCGCCTGGAAACTACAGGATCGATTTCAAATATTCTTGAAATGGGCCCACTCGGAATATATTTCGGGTCGAATGTAAAAAGAATCACATCAATCGGTCAACGCGTTTGGGCGCTATCGATGTACAAACACACAAAAAAACACAACTCGGCAGTTGAGACCCTCCTCCTTTTTGGGAAGTCAGTTAAAAAGTGAAAAAATATTGTAAAAAAGTGAGTACTTGTATTTATACATACATATAATTTGTAATACCTAATACAGTATATTAAAAATATGAGTTAATATATTTTAAAATATTTTTTCTGCTATCTATACTTTTTCTTGTCTTATTTAAGGATATTTTCATGCCGGATGAAAAGGGAATATTTTTTCGGATGAATTGGTAATTATATAATTATAATTTGGATTTCGGATGAATCGGGAATATTTTTTCGGATGAATCGGGAACTAAAATAATTCGGATGAGTTTTGCGGATGAATCGGTAATAGATCAAAAAAAATAAGTTTTCAAGATAAAAAACAAATTATTTCGACTTTATAAATCAATTAATTATTAAAATTTTATAAAAAAACATTCATTGATTTTATGATGCTTTTTTTCTATTTTACAGAAATAAGTATGAAAAATACAGTTGTAGACATTAAAAAAATACATATTAGACTCGTATAGTTAGAAGCTACCGCTCCGACACTATAAAAGTATTTTAGTTACACTGTCATAACACTCCGGAATTAATTCATACATAATTACTTTTTTTACCAACAGAGTAAACTAACCTAATTTGTAACGAGGTTACATCCATCATTAGTCACTGTAGCGTGACAAAACACATTACCGACCTTTCACGAAGTCGGTAAAATACAACCAGTATCAATTTGCAAGACCCCGAAGCGAAGTTTTCTCACTCGATAAAAATAAAATAAAATTTAAATTCCGAATTCGTACGAAAGACAATTTATTAATATACCTACCGCAGTGGGGTGTACATATTGTAATTTATTATGCCTACAATCTTATCTGGAATTAATCTGTGATTTCTTTTAAAAAAAGACTTTTTTCTGAAACGAAATCCTGATCACTTTTGCCGAGTCTTCCTCTTGGCGGCTTTTCTTAAAGCTGAAGAAATGGTTGAGGATGTCAATGTCTTTTATTTGTTGAAATGAAAAAGAAATGTATCACAACGTTACATATACATAGATATTTATTATACACGTGTGATTCTATGCAATAGTTAACGGCCTTTTTTTTTTTTTTTTGTGAGGGGAAAATCATCAAATGACTTCTCCCGCCCAGGGCCGGGCAGGAGGGAGTGTCAGACTCTTACTGACTAAAAACCCCCCTGTTCCTTCTCCTGCTCTGTGCCGAGGTCGCGGTACCTTATTGCGCTTACCCCGCAACCCCGGCTGAACATCAGCCCTTTAGGGCCCCGTCTGTGGTGGTCTATTGGCTCTTTGAGGCGCGCGCGGAACGCTACGCGCCGTACGCTCGGGCCTGGTTCTGGTCGGGCGGCGAGCTGCCCTTACTCGCCGACCGCAGGCCCGTACTTACGGTGGCCGGAGATCGTCCCTCGATCCCCGACGCCCGTAGTGTCGCCAGTTGCGGCTGCTGGGGCGTGAGGAGGAGGATTGCTCCCTCACGCGGGCCGCCTCTCTCTTTGCGAGCATGACTGCTTCACAAAAGGAGGAGACGGCGTCCCAGTTCCTCTCACTCCGCACCATGGCCTCGACTAAGGCCGGGCGCGAGAGGTCGCCGCCGCCGATCACTTCCCTGAGGATACGGCGGTGCTCAGCCCAGGCAGGGCATACCGCTACCGTATGCTCCACCGTATCCTCTAGGTGGTCCTCACAATGACGACACTCGGGCGTTTCCTCCCGCTGAATCCAAAACAGGAACCTACCGAAGCTGCCGTGCCCGGTAAGCACCTGCGTCAGACGGAAGGTGAGGGCGCCGTGGCGTCTCTCAAGCCACTCCTCAAAGAGGGGTCTTACCGCTGCTATGGTAGCGTGCCCGAGGCCTTGACTTTGTATTATGGATATCGGAAGAAAATTCAGTTTTTCCGATCCATTGAGAATTTAAACTATTTCTTTGTTATTCTATAGATTAAACATGTAACTGCAATAATGCAGTATATTGTCACGAATTAAATCCACTGATTATGGTTACTTAACTATGAGGCTGACGCATTGGCAGGGCAACCGGCTGCAATGCAACGTGACGCGAGTTCGATTCCAAACCTTACATTCCGAACCACTATTGTGTGAATAACAAATTGTTGACACTCTCTCTCTCACGACACAGGAGAAAATCTCAGTGTAAAAAATATTTCCTTTTTAAAGAAAAAAAAGATAAAAGGAGCTAAATTTGGGTATTATTATTTTTATGGCTTATGGATCAGAGAAGAGGCTTCACACGATGGTTCAAAAAAATTGGAGCAAGTTCAAGTGTGTTGCTCTGTATCTTGGCAGTTTTTAGGAATCTAGGGTAGGGGAAGAGAAGGGAAAAGGCGTCGTGGCAGTAAGAGTTTGATCCTCTTTTTCGCCCTACCCAGGCCGAAAAGCCTCAAAGAGCTAATAGACCACCACAGACGGGGCCCTATAGGGCTGATGTTCAGCCAGGGTTGCGGAGCAACCGCAATGTGGCACCGCGGCCTGGGCCGAGAGCAGGAGAAGGAACGGAGGGGTATTTAGTCAGTAAGAGCCTGATACTTCTCCCGTCCAAACCTCACAAAAACCCAAGTCGACAACAAAATTGGCGATTTTTCGCCCTCATAAAAACCTATTGTTGTAAGCCAGCCACTGTTCCAGACAAATAAACCACACATAAGAACCTTTGGTTAAAGTTATAACATGACCTATGTGGCCATAAACTTTACGTTTACATGATAATTAACCGTTGGTTTACGTTTATTTTAACTGTCAGGTTATAAAAGTATAAAACATAGTTATGTGGTCTAACGCGGTCCGTTACGCACATTCGCAATGTTAAATAACTTTATTACAATTTTAGTTGCAGATAAATCTTTTGGGGTCTTAGTTAAGTGACGTTTATTTCCCAAAATGTATGTGTAGTATTATAGTTTTATTTTGCAGCCTTGCAATTATTGTTATCTTTGTAATGTTGTGGACGCGGAGATCGGCCATAGTAACATTCCGGCCGAATCAACCCATTCGTGCCAAAGCTTGGCTCACCACTTTTTACAGGAACTCATAAAATTACTATTGAAAAAAGTGGGCTATATTTTTTTAAGGAACATGTCTGTGAACACGTCTACTGATGATCCATATGTATGGAGGCCCAATTTGTATCTGGTAAGCAAGATTGGGCTTCCGGTAATCTCACACATATGGTAAAACACAAAACGTAGTTGCATGTCGACATTCTATGAAGTCGTAGTCAGTATCACTTCAGTTGAGCCGTGTCAAACCAGGGCTGCCCCAGATGCCGCCCTAGCAACAGCCTGTGGGTAGAAGAACGGGGAACTGCTGCCTGCATTGCACGAGCTGCTGCTGCGATGGATCACCAATATATGGAGGCGACCAGCCACTGCCGAGAGGTCACGAAAGTCGTTTTTGGTCCTCGTGGCTTCTCCCAAAGGGCAGAAGACGGCACGAAAGCTGAGTTTTTTAGTGGTTGTAAGCCCCACATAACCTCACCGTCTCCCGGGCGGTGTGTGTATGCGTAAGGCATTTTTCTCAGCTGGAAAAAAAAAGAAAAAAAAGGGCTGCCCCATATTTAAAATGTGAACTTTTATAATCACCTCATCTCAACCCTTCGGGAATTTATAACGATGACGAACTACAATAGTGCACACAGCTCTACAAGCACATACCACTAAACTAATCACATTTTAAACCACATTCAGTTAACCGCAGTTAGTATATTAACCAGATAATGATTGGTCACAATCGCTGTCAGTTAACGTTCGGTAACATTGAACTGGTTTTGTTCAGGTTCAAGGACTGGGTAGGTCATCGATCAATGATGTTTAGATTAACTTCTGCGGTTAGTCACCTGCGGTTTGATGTTCGTTGTTAGTTATAATTAGGATTAAATGTAAAAAAAATGTATATCATCGAGTAAAGGCCTCTTCTCACACGGAGAAGGTTTGAGCAATAATTATTACGCTTACTCAAGGCAGATTGGCGATTTCAAACTTATAATTTTAAATTATAAGTCCAGGTTTCCTGATAGAAGATAATTTCCTTCACCGTATGTCAGTGGTGTTTAAATAATCATAGAAAGTACACATACCTCGTAAAAGACTTTATTTCTTTCTTTCTTTTCTTTTTTTTAAAAAACGTTGCCCCACACAAGGATTTTCTCCTGTGTCGTGGGTGCGTTTATACAGTTTCACATGCACATGACACCCAGACCCGAAACAACAATTTGTGGATCACACAAAGTGTTGTTCCGTGCGGGAATCGAACCCGCGACACGTCGCACGGCAGCCAGTTGCCCAGCCACCGCGCAACCGTGCAATCAAAAACAATGACAAATGTACTAAGGTAAAGTCGCGTTGGTACTTGCCAGGTTTCCCCGCACCCTCATGCATGAGAAGCGGACGCCTTAACTCTTGGGCCAT